GGTTCAATGTTCGCATGAACGTTATCAGGAATTTCAGCTGGTTGGTAATCATCTGAACCGTTAGTAGACATTTTAAATGGAAAGTTGTTTCAAAAAGATTCAATAATGTCAAGGGTAAACGCAAAAATATATAAATGTAAAATAGAAAAATACGTAAAAATGGGGAAAATACGTGAAAATCGACAATATATAGAGTAAATGCGCAAAAATGCAAATAAAAATTTGTAAAAATCACACACACACAGAGATAAATCGCAAAAAATAGTTAGATTAAAATTGTACGTTACCAAGGGTACATTGGGAGGCAGTCGTGTTCTCCAGGCGGCGAGTGGTTCTCTTGCGATGTTTCCAGTAGTCTGTCTGCAGTTGGGTGGCTGCTGCTCGCTGTGTCCCCTGTTGTTTTCCTTCTTCTTGTTGCTTTGTAGTTTCTTACTTGTAGTTTTCCTACTTGTAGGTTTCTTTCTTCAATGAGTTTCTTTCTTCTTAAGGCTCGTTGGTCCTTTTCAGCTTAAAGGATAGGCATCCACCGCACCAGTTAGTATGCACGTGTTCTAATGCGTTGAAGCTATCCCACTTCTCTGACACCAATTTCTGAAATCATTAGATTTAGAAATAACTTTTTAAAAAATTTTATTTGAGGACTGAAGCTTCAGTCCATATAAAATACAAAGGTTTACAAATGTGACATTTACGGAGTCTAACCGGGTATTGAATGACAGGATATGGCCGCGAGGCCTATTTATACATTCAGAAAGCTGAGTAAGAATTAGCAGAAAACAGCAAAGGCACTATTCCAGCAACGGATTAGCGAGAAGTTGTTATCATATGCTGACACAGTGTCTGGTGCAACATTGTATAATAACTGCGTAGTTACTATGGCCATATAATATATATATATATATATATAGTAATTCTGAAATTGTATATCTAAACAATACACAATTATTGAAGGTTATCGTACACAAAGACAACCATAAAATACAAATCATTGGAATATACAAGTCACCATCCACACCCACCACATCATTTAATGAAGAACTTCATAATTATCTTGAAAACAATGAGGTACTGTATATTAATTTAATAGCAGGAGATCTAAATATCAATATTCTAGACCAAAACGATCAAAATTCCCTCGAATACCTTAACATGATGGCAGGGCAGGGATACCTATCCACCATTAATGAAGAAACAAAAGTTGACGGAGATAGTACGAGTTGTATAGACCATAAGATCATAAATAACCCCATAAATAGTGAGAACTTCTGCTCAGCGGTTTTGAGATATACAATTTCGGATCACTTCCCCACCATGCTAAGGATTCAATATGAAGTCAGTTCCTAAATTAAAAATAACGCAATCTAGCATAAAAACATACATAGATTATAATAAGTTGAACTGCAAACTATCTGATGAAAACTGGTCAGAGATATATAGATGATCCTGAAAAGGCATTTGATCTTTTTACCTTACAGCTTCAACAGAGTATAAATTCATGTACAAATCGGATAAAGATTTAGAACTTCTAAATGAATTTAAATTATACAGATATAAATCAACCACAATTATAAAAGAGGCTAAATTAAAATTTTTCAAAAATAAAGTTGATAAACTTCAAAATTCTTCGGCCAAAATGTGGCATTTCATAGAAAAAATGCAACACTCTCAAAAATGCCAAGAAATTCCTGCTGTACAAAAAGAAAATGGGGGACTTACAAAAAGCGATATTGAAGCAGGCAATGAATTTTGTAAATATTTTTCTGAAACTGGTGAGAATCTGGCAAAAGACATTTCAAATGAAACACAACTTGTATATACGAAAACCATATTGCAAAATTCCCTGTACCTGATACAGACCGATCAATACGAAATTGAACAATCATAAAGCGACTGAAAATTAAGAAATCACCGGGATTTGATAATATAACCGCATGCACTCTGAAACAAACAAATTATAGAATTTTAAAAGTATTAGCATATCTTATAAACACCTGCATGGAAAGAGGAATGTTTCCGACCCAATTAAAAAAGGCAATAATAAAACCTGTATTTAAATCTGGAGATAAGCAGAAACCTTATAAATATCGCACAATTTCAGTATTGACAAACTTTTCAAAAATTTTCGAAAAAATTCTTAAAAAACGCTTTACAGATTTTATTGCAAAATACATCATATCTGAAGAGCAATTTGGATTCCAGGAAGCAAAATCAAGTCAAGATGCACTTATTCAGTTAACAACCAAAATTTACAAGTACGTTGATAATAATAAGTCTTTTTGTAGACCTAACCAAAGCATTCGATAGTCTTACACATAAAAAATTATTAAGAACCTTGCAAAATTCAGGATTTCGTGGAGTCACTTATCAACTCATGAGAAGTTATTTGGAAAACAGGACACAATGTGTAAACAGTACACCGAGTGAAAATATGATTGTTAGATGCGGAGTTCCACAAGGAACCGTATTAGGACCAATGCTATTTAATTTATATATGTATATTATTGACCTTTTTAAGCTAAAAAACGATGGAGAAATTATTGGTTTCGCAGACGATACGGCAATTATTTACTCAGACGAAGATTGGACTTCTTTAAAAAACAAAATTGCATTAGATTTTCAAAAGGTTACAAATTTTTTCACGGAAAGGATTTTAACAGTCAATTTCAACAAAACATACTTTATTATATTTTCTTGCGACAACAGATCTTTCCTAAATTTTAATCAACTCCAAAATAAAACGTTGAATAGCTGGAGAGACATATAATCAGTTGACAATTTCAAATACCTATGGGTATTCATAGATAATCATCTAAGATGGAATAAACATATTGAAAATTTAGTAAGAAAATTAAGATACCTTATTCCGAAAGTCAAATATTTTAGCAGTTTTTTAAGCGAAAAATATCTACACATGATATATCATGCCCTTGTTCAATCATTACTATCTTACGGAATCTTAGCATGGGGAGGGGGGGGGGGTAGTCATGAATAATTATTATAAATAGATTGAAATTACGCAGAAGTGGATTTTGAAAGTTATGTTGAACAAAAAGAAATGTTATCCCTCAGAAAATCTTTACAATGAATCTCAGCTTTTCGACTGCCGGCAAATTTATTTTTATCATACAATAATATATTTAACAAAAGATCCAATTGTTACTTTCTATCAGCCACAACCATCAAACGCGATAAACATATAAAATGTAAAAACCGTTTAAAAATTGAATTAAAATCATGGATCCTAAATCAACCAAGGCTACAAATCCATAAGTTTGTTAACACTAAAAACCTATATGTTATTTGATAATAAAATGATGCAAATTTATACATTTGACTAGTACACTTAAAGAAAATTTGTTGTATTAAAATAACTCAACTTCGGTTAAAACCCAAGCACAAGTGTACACTTTTTTGGGTATATTATGTTTATTGGACATTGCTGTTATTTATACGAACACTTTGTAATTGGACCAATAAACAATATTATTATTATTATTATTATTATTATTATATCAGTCAAAATCTATAAATCAATAACAAATAAAATATTAAATTGAATTGTGCACACCAAGAGAAAGAATGAACAAAGATAGGGACTTACAGAGTGAAAATAAGAATACTCTTCATTCTTGGTCCGTCCTGAACTTCTAACATTCAGCTGTGGGGTGGCGTCCTCGATGCTTTCTCAAGCCAGATGTTGACCTTTGGACGTTTCGATAGTGGAAAGCATCCAAATTCTCGGCCTTCTCCTGGTTCTTCCGGTTCTGCTATTGGCTTCTGACCCAAGCGGCGTTATTCCTTCTCACCAGGCGGGTGCCAGTGGACTTCTTCGCCCTGGTCTCCTCTTCTCGTTGGTGGATGTTGGATTATCTCCCCTTGGCTGGCAGAAGTGGCGGATCCCTCACAGACACTTGACAGCGACCGGTGGGGTGGTGATGCTCGATAAACTTCTAATAGCATTGGAGTAAGTACAGTTTCGAAACTTTAGCGCCACCGAATTATTCTTACCTCAAACACAAGCAGCGTACGAGGGATCCCGGTTTAGCCCCCAATTATGTTTGCCAGTGGCGAACGAGGGTCTTTAAAAAATAACTTTTATTTCCCGCTGATGAATCTAACTACCACTACAATAGTTGATAGCTATCTGATTGCCAAACAAAAGGTACAACGGCTTTTATAAAGTCTTATAATAGGAATAAACACCTAAGCTAACTCTTAAGAAGCATGGAGGACGTATCAGGTTGCATGTATGAGATAATTCGACGTAAGTTTTCTAACAACGGTAATATAAGGATAGAAGATACTGCCAAGATGGTACAATATAATAAATATATTGTATAGAGTGAGCCACAGTATATAACTGGCGCAAAGTGGAAACGATCTGAATACACTCGCGAAACCTTAACTAACTAGACAGTGAAAAATTCCTTATTGTTGTAAAAATGAGCGATTTTCATATTTGTCTTCATGATTTTTAAACAAACGTAGGTTGAATACTGATGCGCGTCGTATATTTTCAACTAATCATCTGCTGGCATTTGGTAACGCATTTTTTTTTTCGGAAGCTAATTTGGTCGACTATTTGGTGAAAATAACTTTAAGAACATAGGTGGCAGGTCACCTTTGGTTTACTTTTCACACATCATCACAATATGTTGAGTTTTTCAATTGACCCATTTCTCTTGTTTGCTTCCATCTGTCTCCAAATGACTAGATACTGTACTGATAATTGCTAAAAAGCATGGAATAACGTTGAGTACTGTTATGGACACCGAGACAGAAAGCAAACAGTCCTTTTCAGATTGAATGCTTTCTTAAGTTCATGGCCCACTCATCGCCCACTTAAACGTATGATGTTATGAACTCGTATAACTTTTTTCCCATTCTTAACATAGTTCAAGAATTTAGGTGACCATATTGATGTAGTACTTTGAACAAAAGTACCAGAGATTATTGTTTAATTACATCTAAGCAGAACTTGACTAATTGTCGTTTTCTAGAGTTTTAAGCAAATTGAAGGCGCATTCAACTCTAATCTGGAAAACATTACAAAAAACACTCGATGTAAAGTAGATGCATCCGAACAGAAACTCACGAGATTATTGTCATCGGTGAATCTCGTTAAGAAGGAAACAGTTTTGAAAGCAGAATCGAGCAACAGTCTAATGAAATTAGTGGAAAACTTGCGAATGGAAAACTCGGGTCAAGCCAGCGCGATAAACGAATTGAAACATGAGAATGGAGAACTGAGGCATGCGAAATATAATTTGGAGAAAAATGCGGAGGATTTAAGACGAATGATGGATCAGAAAAAATGTGCTAATATGGAATTACAACGAAAAAATGTAAGTTCAGAAATAAACAGAAGAATGGATGTAATATCGTTTATATTATTTACTTTAAGAGCTGCGAAGGCTTAACTTACGAATAAACACAACACTATCATGACTACTATAAAAAAATTTAAAGCGATGTTTCGTGATGCAAGTATTTTGGACATGTTAGGACAAAAGTATCGATCGAATAGGTCAATTATCGGTGTGAAAGATAAGATGTATATTGTAACGTTGGAATTTTAGAAAAAGGATAATGTATATTTATAATTGATATCGTCATTTTAAAATAAAATGTGAAATCTTTCAATAATTCAAATTATAATTATTTTAGGACGAATTTAGATCAGATTTAGAGAAAGCATCTGTTGTGATTGCACAAAAAAAGTCCTCAATAGAAGAACTGAAAAAGGACTTGGTGCAGGCGAATCAGTTGCTGGTTAATTATAACAAACATTGTGATAGTTTATCAAAACAGGTACGATTAGTAAAAATATAAACATTATTACATTTTACAAAAAACTTTGTTATTATTATCGAAAGTAACTATGATAACAATTACTCTTCACATATTAACCCTCTATGACATGGCTATGAATATCATTGAGTAAAAGCGTCGATCAAACAAAATACTGATAATTTTTCCATAGATGGACAACTCTTTCGGATACTAGAAGCACGTCAGAAAAACCGCTTCGCCATACCAAATGCATTTCTACAAGCAATATTTCAAATATAAATTGTACGTTTCAGTTAGAAGAACAAACATTATCTTTGAATGAAAAAGACAGGGTAATAAATGACTTGGTGAACGAGTACGAACAATACAAACTGGTGTATAATGAAGATAAACATGAAAAACTGAATGCAGATTTAATGGTCGCTAATAGAACAATTGATGAACTGGAGCAAAAGCTTAGAAAGGCAAATAAAAGTGAGTTCATGCTATTATATTTACTGTCATGAGGAGACTGCACATCTCATTATGATTTGCCTTACTGACCTTCTGGGTATATTTTACAATCGACTAATTTTTGTGGTTCTTTACTTGTTTTCACAAGTACATCGATGCAATAAACTGACCTAGCATGGATCTACAGTAGGCCAGCTTACACCATTGTGGAAAGGGGCATATAATTAGAAAAACATATTAGGTTCTTGTATCAGGATATTATGATATTTGAGTTTAGGCTGTATATTCAGTCTCCTCCGGGCAAATAAGTATATGTCTCGATGACAAAATAATTTTGTTATTAATTTTTATTTTTTCAGTAAACATGTTACTCACGGAAAAAGTAAAAAGCAACGCCAATCCGTTCAATTGACTGGCACTGCTAGCAGTATTACCAGAGTATTACTTTTTTAACAATTCTATTGTACTTTTAGGTTATTACGGAGTACGTGATTTATGTTCACCATTTATAATGCATTTAGGGCTTAATATATATTTTTAATAATAATGAAGCAATTTATTAAGAAATCTTTTCCTGGTGTTCCAGTATATGTGTTTTGTCTTAGCCCTCCATTCCCGTATATTGGAGCCATACTGATAGTTTTTCATAGTCACATAGCCTGATATAAGGCACTAATGGTGAACGAAGAGAAACGTATCTTTTAATAGCAATATAAGGACATGCCTTGTCAGGTATTTTGAATTACTTGTATTAGACATACCGTGGAATAACGGACAATTTTCTCGGGCGAGTGTTTTTCTCCAAATACAGCAACAGTGGTAATATGTTACATGTTGGTGTTTTCAGTTAAGCAGGTAAACGAAGCATTGGTAACGTTTTTATAACCCCAAAGTCGTGACAAATGGCTCTGCCCATCGACAAATGAATGCTTCCAACCTCTGAAGGAGAGTACACACTAACCATTAATATCACATGTTATCAACGAAAGTCTTTCCAGATTGGTTTTACAAGAGTGTATCAAAAAGTTTCTGGACTAGCTCTGGTTTTACAACAATTTTATATAGTGTCTTTGTACTCTATTGATTTCCTCTGTCAGCAACTTCATCTTGAGCGAAAAATTTAAAGTTTCTTCCTGTTGAAGCTGGCAATGCCATTTGAGAACGACTATTTACTTCATCACCATAAACTTACCGACGCATATATACTGTTTCTTTTGGTGATTTTCTAAGTTTCACGCAAAATGTGTTTGTACAGTAGTCGGTAACTTGTCGGTGTCTGTTAAAATCAGAATCAGCTAGTCCGCTGTTCGTACAGAGACAGGCCAGAGAACGCCTGTCAATCAGCGGCGGTGACAGGTATGAGAGTGTGTCGAAACTATCTTGAGGAGTAACAATGCTTCGCAAAATGCATCTACTAGCCTCCTCTCTTACTCTTCTCTAACGTTCAGTCTGGGCACACTTTCGCACCGGTAGACCGGCGATCTAGCTCTCTTCTACCGCTAAGCTAAAGGCTTTGCTCCTCAGAGCTCTCCTTGTAGATGATGCCGCCGTGCGATGTGCCTGCCAGATAAACCCGCCCGACTTCGACCTCCCATCGTGAAGGTGTCGAACTTCGTGCATCCAGAACTGGCCGATGCGACCGCTCCTGAATTTTGACGTGAAAGCAGTGCCACAATTCAACAGCAACGAAGTTTTGTAACATTTTTGAGTGAGCAAGACAGTCGCAAAAAAAATTTCAGTGAAATTCCGTCGTAGTAACCATTGTAAATATCAGGCTGCGCCATATGGAAAGCTAACTCCGTATAAAGAAACCTGTATATTTTTATGGTTTGCTGGATATCAAACAGCCATCTTCAGGGATGCGGTTAATAGGTTCAATGTTTCCGTGAATACCCTGGATGCAGATTGACCAACTTCTTTAGTAGTCTGGTACCAGAAATCATAAAATGGCCAACAGAAGAAAAAAGATATAGCAGTATTTCTACAATAAAAAATAGATTTCCTGTAATCGTTAATGGAACCCATATATAGATTGAAAAACCGGAGGATCATCCGTAATCATATATTATTAGAAAATGATGCTACTCTATACAGGTTGGTGTAATTATGGGTATGAATCTATGCACCAAATAAAGTTCGTACCAGCTTCGATCGTATGTAATCATTCCTTCCATACTCTAGTTTTCATATATGTATCTCGAAAATACGAATATCCATGATATAACTATGTGTAATTATAATTATTTTCATTCCGGACACAACTTACATATCACATACATACTTGTTACCCAAGCTCTTAATTCCATTCCAAGACCATGGCCAGTTATCACCTATACAACTAAACTATAACATTCTCCAAATCGCATTCTAGTAGAGAACTGCAATGGCCGTTTGAAGCAAAAAATGTATTCAACGCTTTCACGTTGAGAAGCATCAGATAGATAGTGCATTTCATACGAGCGTCCTTCGTTTTACACTTGTCTATAGGTGATAATTTTGCAGCAGAGCACACTGAAGATGGTGATAATTATCACCTCAAAATTCGCCCATCAGAGCTAAAAAAGGAACTGTTTTGTTGCTCTGTTAAGTTAATTATTATTATTCGGCTATAAGTTGTCACCACTTTAAGTTTTTTATAGGACTGTACGGTCTATTATAAAATTCTCTGTTGTCAATACGCATTTCAAAATCTATGTATCCATATGTGATGCAATCTCAAATCAGTTTAAGCTATCAAAGTGATTCGTGCTCTATATCTTGTTTATTGGCAGAAATGAAGTGTGAAATATATGAACATTAGAGAACAAAAGTTTCAAGAAACATAATTAAAACTATTTTTTTGTGAATACCAACCTTTCCAAAATTTTCGTTACAGTTACAAAATGCGGAATTACGCGATTACTTTGTTCCTACCTGTGTTGCATGTTGATCAACTTTGCCATCTCAGATATTTTGTCCATATTTCTGCTTGTAGGTCTCAATGGTAAAAACACGACTTGACTCATTCCTTTTTGTCCATGTTGGGAACTCTGTGAAACCTATAGCTATGAGAGCAGATCTTGATATTGTAGTTATTCTCAGGCGTTTTAACTTTTTAGTATGAATTTGCCGTTTGTTATTCAAAGACGTTATTAAATCCTTGTAGTATTTTTACTTCTTTTTTACAGTGAGAATCTGCACATATAGGGAAAATATTATTTTTACCCCAGCCAGCATCATTGTTATATAGACGGACCCTGCTGTAGCTTAAGAAAATATCTTTGTATTCAGTACAATATACAAAAATGCACATGTTTGACTACCTGCCAGTCCGCCATTTTCAAAGACAGTTGGACCCCCCTGAAAATAGCTATATGTTAAAAATCACTTAGTCATTTTATTTTTTTCCGATCAGCTTTGGGCTGGACTGTTGAATATGCATACTGTTTGTGCATACACTCAAGGCTGGGCGACAACTGTTAGGGAACAGGGAACAAAAACCCTCCTATCGTAGTTTTATAAAAACACATTTTCAATACCTTGTGCATTTCTCATACATAAATCATCGCAAACGTTTATCCAGAATTCTTATTTTTTGCTTCTTCAACTTGTCATTAGGTGTGTGCAATCACATTCCTTCGAATTTTAGACCATACTTTTTAAACGAGAATTGAATGGGAACTATTCCCGACTGAGCGAGGAACTATTCCCTGCTGCTGTTCCGGAAGTTGTTGTATCCAGTATACAACTTCTACCCGATCAAGTGATTATACACGCGTTAAGGAATACCTCAGTACCGATTGCCGGGTGGCGGTACCAGTCCGCCAACGGGTCACTTTAGGTCTATTTAATATCATTAACAGGCAGAAAAGAGGAGGTAGACATGGACCAGTCGACCCAGGCGGTATCACCCGCTAGCTTTTCCCATGGTGTTTTATAAATATCCGCATGTTTCCACAGCTAAACTATGCAGTCGGTTATCTTCCAAAACAAAGAAAAACCTCAGAGTCTGCACCGATTAACCATCTTAACTTCCCAAATTATGAGGTGCACTCCAATCTGAGAAAGAACGGTGGAGTTGTGGATTTTGTCCGCAGCAGACTTTCCTGCTCCGAATCAGACCGGAAGGACATTCTGTGGCTTCGCCTCAACGCCAAAACATCCCCCAAATTTATTTGCTGCCTTTATCGCTGTCCCTCGGACCATGACTGGGATGAACTACTTGAATACCTCGCGGTCAAGATCGACTTCCTGAACATCAATCATCCTGCTTCAAAAGTAGTTCTTCTTGGTGATTTCAATGCCCATAATGAGCTTTGGTTGGGCTCAAACAAGACTGATGCAGCAGGTCGTGTAGTCGAAGCGTGCGCTCTTACTCAAGGGCTGCCCCAGCTGGTGACGAGCCCTACTTTTTCCCCCACGTCTCGTCACATGCCAAAAGCCTGCTGGATCTCTTTCTCACAGCACTGCTGGGCTGTTCCCCCTGGCTAACTCAGACCACGGTGTTGTGGAGGTTAGGTTTCGGTCAGAACCCGCTGTGGCAGCAGAAACTTTTACAGACCGAAAAACTTGGCATTACGGACATGTCGACTGGGAGGGGCTCAGACACTTCTTCTCTACCTTTCCTTGGAGAGATGTCTGTTCCACTGACGTGGACGCGTCGGCTGTCTGTTCTTCGATAACCGAAAGTATCCACGACGGAATGGAGGAATACATCCCTCACACAGTGAAAGTGCCTAAACCAGGGTCCAACGGCTGGTGTGACAAATCGTGTGACACTGCTAGCCATCGGAAGATCAAGTCACACAGAACCTTCTTACAAAACCCCACTGTAGAGAACAGTCAAGCCGACGTCGAGTCGTAAGTAAGGTAATGGAGAGGTGCATAAATCGCGAGCTTCTGGGCTACCTCGAACGTCACAGCTTGATTAGCGACATACAGTATGGTTTCCGACACCAGCGATCCACAGGGCGCCTTCTAGCTTACATCACGCAATTGTGGAGTAAACTCATTCAGTCTTATGGTGAGGCTCATGTCGTTGCATGCTGCCCTCTTAAGCAAACTTCCATCCTATGGCCTCCCAAAAAAGCTTTGCAGATGGGTGGCTGACTTTAACTCTGGTCGCAAGATATCAGTCGTAATTGACGGGTTCTCCTCTTCATCCCACGTCAACAGTGTTCCCCAGGGATCGGTGTTGGCTCCGACACTGTACCTCTTACATGTCAACGATCTCCTTTCCTGCATGATCAACCCAATCCACAGCTTCGCTGATGACAGCACTCTACATGCAGGAATTCAGAGTGACAAGCCCATCTCTGCCGCTGAGCTGGAAAAAAGACGACTAGCGACGACTTCCTCTCTGACAAAAGACCTGGAGGCTGTCACTGCTTGGGCACGCTACAATCTTGTACAGTTTAATGCCTCCAAAACACAGTACTGTACTTTGACGAACAAAAAGCGTGCTAGCGCTCATCCAGTTTCGATGGATGGCCGAGTTCTGCCAAAGAGCCACTCATTTCGGCTGGTCGGAGTCCAGATCACCGAAGACCTGATTTGGCACGAACCAAT